AAATATATTTTTTTCTAATATTAAGATTAAGATTATTTAATATTATTACCTCTTAAATATTATGATGTAATATTGTTATTTTTAAATGTACATACAAAAATTATAATTTGTCTCTTCGCTATTATCGGAGATAGGACTTTTCTTGAGTAAAGATCATTTCCACTATTGGAGAATCAAATATTAGATGCAGATGTTGATATGTGGTATTGAAAATAATTAACAGTTTAGATATTAATTGTTTTTTAATAAAATAATATTAAAAAAAACAAATTTTATTTCCCCTCAATCCAATAATGGAAGGTCCACCATGTCACCAACATAAAGTTAGATTTTAAATTTGGAAAATTGAAAAAATATCTAAAAGTTTATATTGACAACTATTTCTTAATTGTTTTTTAATAAAATAATATTAAAAAAAACAAATTTTATTTCCCCTCAATCCAATAATGGAAGGTCCACCATGTCACCAACATAAAGTTAGATTTTAAATTTGGAAAATTGAAAAAATATCTAAAAGTTTATATTGACAACTATTTCTAAGTTGTATCTATATATGATATAATTGTCCTAGTTGGCCAAGATGTTAAACTTATTAAAAGTATTATAGTTGTCTTTTGACATGATAATATTATCATTTATTTAGTCAACTTCTAAGTCCTATAAATATAAGTGTTTGTAAACAATTGCAGAGTCTATGTGTCAAAGAAAACTTTGTAGATTGAATTTCGTTCCTTAGTGTTCAAATTTTCTTCCAAGGGATCTTAATTCGAAGAGGACAGTTATTTTTAATTACCAACACATTAGTCTCCAACAACCATAAAAACTAAGATCTAAGCAAACTCAAAAATATATCTTGAAATAATAAAGAAGAAGATGGTGATATGATGGATGAAAAACAAATGATAAGCTTGCATGTCCATAGAGGATATATGCAGTTGGAAATATGAATGACAATGGAGAGGATGAGGGTTATATTTTTGCTTAATCAGCCTTAAACATGAACTCCCAACCTCAATCCAAAATATAGTGGAATAGAATTATATCTATGTTCCATCGGGTTTTGGGTATCCCCGAGCTCATATTAACTGGCCCAAAACATGTCCCTTCTAATTTAAATAATGTCTTATATATAAAAGAGTAATTCTATAATTTCAAGTAAATCAGGTTCAAATATCATATATATCAAACACAATTTCAAATCAAGTATTTGAAATCGTGAAAATTTAAACCCAATCAAAATATATTTTCCATGTTAAATTCATGTTAGGTTAGAATGAGATTGTCATCCCAAAATGGAAGAGCTAGTATATGAAGAAGAATATTGATTTTTCTGATTGGGATGTGGATGAAACACAACAAGAAAACAACAATGGACTAAAAACTGGGACAATGACAACACTCAAATATGCATTGAACTCCCACCACTAAATGAATAATAAAAGGAAACATTATTTTAAACGATAATTAAATATGAATGATAAAAGATATAATAATATTTTAAAAAGAATTTAAACTATCAATACATACATCAGTTTCTCTTTTAATATTGTTTATCATTTGAAGATAATTAAATGATTTTCTTAATACATCTAACTCTTTTTTATGAAAAATATAGGGAGGAGTTCCGAGTACACTTGTTAACCTTCACATTAAATATATGACCAATAAAAAGAACCCAATCTTAAAAATATATGAGTGAATCTGTGCTTGACAGAAAGGGGTGGATGACTTTTGTGAGGAAATCTACACTGATCAGGGTTAAATATTGTATAAATCTTTTTGACACGTGGCATATAAAAAAATCGAAAGTTCCAAACTATTATTAGTTTTTACTTTTTAAGATAAATAATATAATAAGGGTAGGGATCCACCTACTCCAAGAGTAAGTGGAAAAACACTTACTCCACATCATGATCATTCATTCTTGGGGAATTCAATGGTTTGAATTGATGAGTACATCTAAACCATAGGATTTTTCAAGATTTAATGGCTAAGATGAAGAGTAAGTGTTTTTTTTGGAGTAAGTGAATCTCTCCCCGTATAATAAATTAAAAATTCATTATTTGTCACAAAATTTCGGTAATGGAAGGTCCATTATTGATATCCTATTAATGATTCATACCATTTCACACACGAATTTTATCAACTGAAGTGCATGCACCTTTGACTAGCCATGAATCATGAATTTCACCTATGCTTCATGAAACCTTTCAAGTGATCCTAACTTATTGTTGTCCCCCTGTGATTTTTTTAGTAATGTTATATTCTCCTACTAAACTATCATACTAATTTTCATACCTATACAAAAGTGACATATGACACAGATTGATATTTTATTTATTAGTGATTAGTTTACAAGTAACATATGTCACTTTCTTATGAGCATGATGATTAATATAATGATTTAGTACGAGGATATATTATTTTGCATGTTTTTTATCCCTTAAAAGTCATATCCTCGCTACAGCCGAGTAGATTAGCCAAAATTTGTGCCATAAAGGACATTGTTTGTTAAGCATTAAAGTAAAAAATGTTTGTATATGGTGCTTTTTTGTTTTTTTTAATGGTTTTTATAGACAAAGTTCTAGATGAGGTTGGAAAGAAGGAAAATTGTGAAACCATCAAACTTTGAATTCACATCCATACACTTTATAGTTAAATAATATATTCAAAATGGATGATATATAATTAGACTCCTTATAATTAAGAATAGTTATTCTTGATGATCTTTATTATAAATTATCAACTAAAAAGTTTTATGGCCCCTTTTTACAAAAAAAAAATTATTTTCTTATGCAATATTGTTCTCCTCTTATTTGCCTTTTGTTCATTAATGTGATGATATTTACGATATGGCTTAACCGCTTAAGAGGCTAAAGCCATAATGTTATATATGATATCTTTAAAAAATAAGAGAGATAATTATTTATTTTGTTTTTGTGATTTAATTAAATATAGCTTATAAATTATACTGTTGATTACAAGGAATATATTATTAGATTTTTCAATAACAACATTACTTAATAATGTCTTTAGAACATTGACTATAGAATAAAATATTTAAAATCATAGTAACTTTTAAACTTTAATACTTAATTATAACATTTTTTTCAACATAACATTTTTAGCTTTGATTATTAAACTATGTGCCTTTAGAGTATTCATTGTCCTTTCCCTTTCGGTACTGACAAAAGTTTTGGTCAATAGTTTTCTTTTCAACTAATTTATCATTTTATTATCTCTAAAATTAAATTAAATGATTCATCATCACTAATGCTAAATTTTATATCTTTTATTTTTTAAATCAATTATTAGTCTGGAATGTGTTAATTTATGATATTATATATTAGAAGCAGACTAAATCAGAATTAGACCATTTTGTTGAGATATATGGGAAGAAATATAACTATATAAGTATGCGGGTGAGATAGTATACTTTGGGCACTTATGTCCTTTTGAAGTAATTAAGTTCTTTGATTCTCTACATCTCAACCTTGTCGATAATAAATAAACAAACAAACCAAAGCATAGTTAAATTACTTGTGATTTATAAATTATCTGCTATACATTTATACTATCATATAATTTAAACAAAAAAAGGAATTGTAATGTGTAAGAACAGTTATTTAATCGTAATATTGATTGTAATTCATGAAGTCAGGATGGCCGAGTGGTCTAAGGCGCCAGACTCAAGTTCTGGTTCTCGTGAGAGAGCGTGGGTTCAAATCCCACTTCTGACATTTTTGATTTACTTTTGGAACTTTCATATATTGTGCTCAATTGCTCATTGACCTACGATAGCCTTTTAAAAAGCTTTTAAGATGATTATTTTTTATTTCTTTACGAACGTCTTGGTATTCTATGCCAATATAAAAAGTGATATTCCTGGGAGAATAATAAAATAACGGTGTAAAAAATTCTTATATCATAAGTGTATATTCTCAACTTATAATTATGTGCAAGAGTAAAATTATTGATTAAACTTTTATATTTAAGGATAAAATTTTTATCACATTCTATCTAAAAGATAAAAGTTTTATATCATACAATTTTTTATTTTTTTTCTTTTAATGAATAAATAATTGAGGTGAGTTGGTATTGGACTATGAGCAAAAATCTTACCATCTATATCAACCTCGAATGAGAATAACATGTTTATTTAAAAGGGCTATACGTGAATTTGGGTGAATCGATTCAAACGAACATACTAAATATACATATTTTAGGATGAATTGTACCATCTTATCTAATTGAGTGTGTGTTGATTATTTAGTTTTGATGTTGGTTGGAGAATTGTGTAACCTTAATTCTAAATCATCCTAATTAATATTCATGGAGATCCTTCTAATTACTAGATTGAGGAGAATGATACAATATTCACTTTTTCATTTTTCACTTAGGGATGAAATATTAGAAGGATATAGCAAAGTCAAAACACCGTCATCCATTGAGCTCTACACTGCCATATATTCATTAATTCACACTCATTATCTCTTGGGAAAGTTATAGTTGCACAAGTCACCGGAATTTTTATTTTATATAGAACTAAATAGGTTCGGTACATATTATAAATTATTTGGTGTAGATGTTTGTGTGCACCTTTTTTACTTTGGTTTCAACTTTCAAGTGTTTCTTATATGGATTCAAAGAGAAGGAGTTGCTTCTGGTTTTTCTGTTTATGTTGGAAAATTGTCACTCAAAAGTTTTGAGTCTTCCTTTTCATCTTGTATTCTGGTTTTTTCTGTTATTCTGGGTTTTCAAGTTCAATGATGCAAAGTGATCTTCACACTTGATAATGTTACATCAAATAACATGCTGTATTCATTTGAATGTTCAAATAGGTTTGGGAGAAAGTGTTTGTTTATCTAAGCGAACCATAGAGTCGACTTTGCTTATTATTTAAGTCCCACATAGGATGAAACTACGAGAGAGAACTAACTCGGTTCTTATAAGTAGATGGTATTAATGTTTGGAAAATCATGATCCTTCAGGCAGTAACGGGTAAATGAGGAGTGGATTAATCTCGCTACTTTAATTCGAGATGAGTGTCCACTCCAAAGCCTGGTTACGACAATTGGGCACTCTCCCTTTTTCCAATCTGATCCCTATCCTCAAGGAACAATACTATAGTATAAACATTTTTCAGAATATCTTTAAAGCAAAGGAAAACATTCTGTGAAAAATGGTACTTCCTTTTACTTATTTTTTATAATTTTTTGATTAAAAGCAAGGTAATACTTTCTTTATAATTTTCAGTTCGAACATTTATGTTTACTTTTTTTTAACGCACATTTAATGAGTTTTCATTTCTCAATAGGTTTGTTTCACCTTTTGTATTTCCGAATAAACAAAGTTGTGTCTGTAATCACCTTCGGGGGGGTTTATAAAAATAGTTGTTTCTCTTTAGGATCGATTTGTTTGTTGGTTTTTGAGGATAATAATGGAAAGAATGAAAAGGTTGGGGGTTTAGTGAAGCCTTGCAATTTCTTTTCCACACAATAACAAACATGCAGTAAGTTTCCAAACAGCATAAGGGAGTGAACCTAAACAAACAAGCTTTAGTGACCCTTATATCTAGATAAAGGACTAATACAGCACTATAAGCTCACCCAACAAAAGTAAACTGTAGAACAGTACAAGGAGTCAATTACACCCGGGTGCGAGGTTAATATAAAGGCTAAACAATGAGATGAGATGCTTCTTTTATATATACAGAAATTTAAAATAAAAAATAAATGAATAATGAATTTGTAGATCAATGTTTTAGTAATCAGTATAATAACCCAGCTGACATATAGATGAATGGTTTGAGTGATGAGTATGATAACCCTCCCATAACATCCAAAACGTTTTGATGTTCCATGATGAGTATAGTAGAGATGAATGAAAGCTGATATGATCCCGGGAAATAAAAGAAATACTATACTTTTCGTGATTAGAGTAATTGAGGTCTGGAAACGAATAGAAAACTTGAGAATTATAAGTTAAAGATTCGATGAAAGTGATAAATTCAAGTGTAGCATGATGCTGATTACCAAGATAGTAGGTGACAGACAGAATGTGATATCATGAAGAATCAGACATCAGATGCCGAATGGCCCATGTATTAGAAATTAAGATGCAACAGATTAATTAACATATTATATTGAATATTCACCCCACTTATGGATTAAAATGGATTCATAGATGAATTAAAAATCATCCATTAAATTTAAATATAAATGAATTAGATAATTAGCATTAAGGATAACAATGAGAACTTGGGTCTACCTGTAATACCTGTAATCAAAGATTTTTAAACTCGTTGATGAAAGATCCATATATTGAGTTAAGACTCACAATTCCTAAATATATCACGATGCTTAAATATATATATATATATATATATATGATAACATATGTTTTTTCATCATAATTGTGATATTTTATTTTTAAGAAGTGATGTTATGTTTTTTAATACTTAAATGTGACATGTAATGTTATGTTGATAGAGAAATCTTAGATATTTGATATGTTTTATCATCTTATTTTAAATTATGTTTTTTAGTTAAAAAATTATATTTAAGTGAGTATTTTAAGTTGTGTACTCTTTAATTATGATTTGCAATTGTTATTATCATTTTTTATTCTTTTAATCTTCTAAAATAACATACATAATTATAAGAAATACATACACAAATTTATAAGTTGTTTTTAATTTTAAATTATTTTTAGAATTTCTAGGTAGGACCCATATATAACAAACCCATGTGGGGTCTGGGTTTCAAAATGGTCGAACGAAACTGGTCCACAGTGCATAAATCTAAGGAACCAAATCCAGCCTTAACCATACAAATGTCCTGACTGTAGCGCCAAACAATCAGCTACCTTATTTCATTCATGGAGCAAATTCCTCAATAGATTTAAGGATAACAACACAAAACTAATTTCCAACATTACGCCCAAAACCATTTACATTAGCCTTCATCCAACCTACGTTAGGAAAACGTTAACTCACTTCAATAGATGGTAGCTCAGTGTTTAAATACTTCATCTCCAAGAGTTTACATTACGGCTACTAAATACTTACTCCTTATTGAAAAAACTACTTCAACATCACGTAATAGGTAAAAACCATATTCTGAAGCTAAGAGTTTAAATGACAAAACCATGATTTTTAAAAAAATATAAGAAGCATGTGATAAAAAAATATAATATTTCATCTCCAAGAGTAACGCACTTTACTATTAGTAATGGGATTCTTGAACTTGCAAATCTGAATTCTCTTCTGTCTGGCTTGTGCTGCTTCTATGACCCTACTCAAATTCTTATCAGACACACTCACATTTCCACACTCCACTCCCATAATGGGCTCATCAATTGGTAATAAATTCAAATCTGGAATTCCAATTGGGCCCATTATATTATTACTATTGCCCAATCCATTGGAACTAGAAGATGATCTTATTCCAAACGACTTCGTTTTCTGCAGGACATTAAACTGATCAATAGTAATGTTCTCAGTAGTGTCGCCAATTTGCGGCTGATTAAGGATCAACGGTGAAGGGTGAACCATGGTGGGGATTTCTAATTGATATGGCTGCTTAGGTAGAGTTAACTGTAAAAAATGGGGATCACATAAATTATTATTGATGATCATGAATCAAAATAAACAGGGTGGGACCCACATCAGAAAAGAGATAGAGCAAAACATAACTCAGGAAAACAAATAGAATTTAAAAACATTAAAAATGAAGGGGAAAAACAGAAAGAGAATAGGCACCTCTTGTTTTCTCGCTTTCAACTTCAAATTGAAGCCCTTCAGTTTCTCAAAATGACACTTCACATTCATTACTTCCTGAATGGATTTTAGATCAATCAAAACCCGTAACCAAAAATTCCATTATAAAAAAATGCAAAATTTCTCTGCTATAATCCACAGTCCAAAGGTTCAGGAAAAATCAGAATTACTTGCAAGTGCTGTTATTTAAAATTTAAAAACAACAAAATAGAAAACTTACAACATGAAGCAAACCGTTGTCTTTAGTGAACTCTTCGATAGTCTTCAAATAGTGATCTTTCTTCTACAGAGTACAGAATAATAAAAAATATTTAATAGAGAATATAACAAATAAATATATAATTTTGAAATGATTGGTAGGATAGATGATAAATTAGATAGATACCCTTTTGAGAGAAACGTTTTTTCTCAAGAGGGTAGGTTTATCTTCAGATTCACTAGGAGAAAAAGAAAGAGGGGTTGCAGGACTTGAAGCTTCTGCTTTACGTGGTGGTGGTGGTGATGAAGATGATGATGGGGTATCAGAGATTGCAGATCTTAATCGCTTGCGTCCCCAAGTGAGTGGGAATATAAACCCAGACTCCAAGTTGGATAGTGTTATATTACGGAAATCAAGAAGGATTTGAACAACTTCATTCTCCGAAGGAGTTAACGTTGTACACTGTTTCATCTCTCAAAATTTTGTGTCTTTCTCTATCAATAATTCTAGTTGAACAAAAATTAAAAGGATAGAGATTTTGGAGGCACAGGGCGTGGGGAGAAAGATAAATAGAGATAAAGAAGAGAGAGAGAGAGAGTGTGTGTTTTTGTGTTGGTTCCTCTGTGCGATTTGTCTCTGCCTCTACAAATAACAAATAAAAAGGAATTTTGACGAGTTTCCAGCTTGTGACACGTGTCCTCTTCCTAACGATATAGATGATTAGGGTTTTACATCACTCTCTCTTTTCCTCTTCGAATTCTAATTGGTTTGGCCGTTTGGAAATTGGAACCATTGTGGGTGAGGGATTTAGGTTATTATTCAGAAGATATTGTTTTGATTGCTAATGACATGGCTCAAATGAAAGGGAAAAAAGAAATCTTTTGACTGAACTATTTAGTACAAAATAGTTAACGAATTTTATGAAAAATTATAAATTATAAACGAGATATTTATTTATTTATTTATTACAAAAAGTGGGAGAATAAAATGAGAAAAGGTTGGTTGGACGTACTTATAGAAATTAATTCCAAGGATCATCAAATGTCATATTTATATGAATATTATTTAAATTATGCAATAAAATATAAACTAAAAGTTCCATTATCATTTTAATTTATTTTTAGTGTTTTTTCTATATATATATATATATATATATATATATATAAAAGTAAGATAAGTGCTAGGAATCCTCTTTTCGTCACTCAACCTTAAGCAGATTTATTACTTGTTTATTGTATGTCCACGTTGCAGTTTATAAAATGGTCACGTCTAACATGCGTACTAATGTTTAGTAGGCATGGATGCGAACTTACTTCGTAGCCATTGATTGCATCTTAGCCGTAGAATTGATGACCTGCTGTTTTTTAGTGGAGAAGTCGGTAAGGGTTTGGGAGACTTATAACAACATAAAAGTCAGTTTGGGCTAGAGGAACTTTAGTCCAACAGAAGTCGTGTTTGGGTAAGCTAACATCATGTCTCTTGGAAGTCGGTTTGCCCATTACAGACTTCCATACGTGATACGGCACAACCCAAGGGAAACAGATGGAAAACCAATTAAACTGTACAAAAGCTCAACCTTTAAGAACTTTAAACCTAGAACCATTTCTGCCAGTAACCAAATAGGATCTCTATCATTTCATTTAAAATTAAAATTACATTTAGCATCTACAAACACGCCATACAAAGTGATTATTGCAGGTTCTAAGCACCATAATGTTTTCGAAGATAATCATCAAGATAAGAAATCCAAGCCAATCATACTTTTATCAACTAGATGATGTTTCATTCAAGTATGAAAGAGAATAAATTGTGCAGTGAACTAGTATGTTCAGTAACCGGCATTACAAAAATGGAAAATCACCTGTATTCAATATGTTTACAACTTCAATGAAGTCGGTATGGCTTTTGGAGACTTCCATGAAGAAGTCGGTATGACTTTTGGATACTTCCATGAAGAAGTCGGTATGGCTATGGGAGACTTCCATGAAGAAGTCGGTTTACTCCAAAACGACTTCACTTCTGAAGTTCCACCTCCCCAAACCGACTTCATGCAAGTCACTTCCAGTACCAGGTCAACTCAGATTTTAATCCAACGGCTAAAATGTATTTCATTTCAATGCGAACTAA